AGCTCCGCAGGGATCTCCATCGTACTGTGGGTCCTCATAAAGCTGCGTCCAGCTTTGTAGGGATCTTTACGGAGTTGTTTCCAGCTGTGTAGGTGGTTCTACAGAGCTGTATCCAGCTTTGTGGGGATCCCAATAGGGCTGGCTGTATCGAGCTTTTTAGAGATCCGTATAGGGCTGTATCAAGCTCTGTAGGGACTCCTGGAGGTCTGTACCAGTCCTGTGGTGATCTGTACAGAGCTGTATCCAGCTGTGTGAAGTCTACAAGAGTTGCGTCCAGCCCCGTGGGGATCATATTAGAGCTGTGTCCAGCTTTTCAGGTGTCTCACTAGAGCTATATCCAGCCCTGTATGATCCTTGTGAGAGCTGTTCCAGCCTTTTAAGAGTCTGATCAAACTTGTATCCAGCCCCGTAGGGATCCCATCAGAACTGTATCCATCCTTGTAAGGATCTTCACATAACAATATCCAGCCATGTAGGGATGTCCAAAGAAATGTATTAAGCTATGCAGAGATCCCAATAGAGCTGTATCCTGCTCTGTAGGGGTCGCTGATAATCCCGGGGGAAGCGCGCCTCGCTGGCGCGCGCGCGCGTGTTTCAAGGAAAGCGCACGTCCATGGGGTCCTCTGATCGAGCCCCATATGACTTTGGAGGTTGCAAGCATGAATGCCGAGTAGGGTTGCTTGGTTGCTGGTTGCTCGGCGCGGGGGGGCCACCACCCGAGTTCTAGGTTTCTAGGTCGATGGTCGTCCCGCAAGGGGAAGGAGGGGTCCAAGCACCCGTGCACGGGGGTCGTAGGTGGAGTGTCGTCCTTGTTGTTGTCTTCGGTGGGCGCCCTGTCGCCTCGGATGGATTCCCCTCGCAGGAGGGGGAGGAGGAGGAGGAGGAGGAGGAGGGGGAGGAGGATGAGGAGGAGGAGGAGGGGGAGGAAGACAAGCTAGGTGCGCTCGCGTCATATCTGACGTCCTACCCCTCCCTCCCATCCCTTACCATGGCGCTGATTTTCTCTATCCGCGGACGCGTGTCGTAGCGGACCTGTGGCTCCGCGCGCGCGTGCGTAGTGGGTGGTGGTGCGCGTGCGTGCGTGCGTGCGTGTGTGCGTGTTGGTGGTGGTGGTGGTGGTGGTGGTGGTGGTGGTGGTGGTGGTGGTGGTGGTGGTGGTGGTGGTGCTGGTGGTGGTGGTGTGGTGTGCTGGTGTGGTGGTGGTTGTGGTGGTGGTGGTGGTGGTGGTGGTGTGGTGTGGTGGTGGTGGTGGGGTGGTGGTGCTGGTGGTGGTGGTGTTGGTACTGGTGCTGGTGCTGGTGGGTGGTTGTGGTGGTGGTGGTGGTGGCGGTGTGGTGGTGGTGGTGGTGGTGGTGGTGGCGGTGCGGCGCGGTGGTGGCGGGCGGATGGGCGCGCGAGAAAAAGGCCCGCGCTGGGGCGAGAACGCCATCCTGAACGACGGAGGCCAAGCACCGATCCGAAAATGAGGCCCACGCTGCAGCGGGAGCACGATTCGGAACGATTCGGGAGCAGAAATGAGGCCGGCGCCTCAACGAGAGCAGCATTTTGGGAAAAAATGACGCCGGCGCCTCAGCGAGAGTCGTTTCCCGGGATTTCCCGGGCATCCTGTGTGTAAAAAAACAGTACGCGGAGGGTGCGCGGCCATCACCCGGACGCCATCAGGGGAAGGATTCGGGAGCAGAAATGAGGCCGGCGCCTCAACGAGAGCAGCATTTTGGAAAAAATTGCGCCGGCGCGAGAGCAGCATTTTGGGCAAAAAATGACGCCGGCGCCTCAGCGAGAGTCGCTTCCCGGGATTTCCCGAGCATCCTGTGTGTAAAAATACAGTACGCGGAGGGTGCGCGGCCATCACCCGGACGCCATCAGGGGAAGAGGGAGAGTATATTCATATTGAGTAATTGTGGAGGAGGAGGAGGAGGAGGAGGAGGAGGAGGAGGAGGAGGAGGAGGAGGACGACGACGAGAGGGTTCTCGGGGCTCTGGAGGGATTCGCGGTTGTTCTGGGTGACTATTGGTGGTTCCACGGCCCCAACAACATCCGATAGCCAATTTTTGTTGTTTAACACGTGTGCCCCAGGTGTCTCGACCGAGAGACTTCCCGCCAAGCGCATGCGTTTCACTGGATCGCCGAGGCCCGTCACCAGAACGGCAGGGCCTTCACCGTCACGGCGGGGACCGTCACCAGAAGTCAACAGAGGCTGCGCCTTTAGAAAACCGGGTGAGTCTCATGGGGGAATTCGGGGCAGCAGCTCGGCTGAGCGCCCGGGATCTTTTCCGATTCGCCTCGCACGACGGCCATTCGAGACGACGACGACAACCATTGTTTTAAGTTTGTTCGCTCTTATCTGCTCGCGTGTCATTCACCGCGTATATCCCAAACAATCGATACCCGCCCTCTTCGTCGTCGGTCGTTTCCCCTTGAGGGTACGTCTTCCTTGCCTGCCATGTGTCTTTGCCGCAGCCCCTAGAACAGGGGAAGACCAGAGGACGGATGGGAGGATCACCACCCACCAAACCACCCCAACCCAACCCGAAGGTCTCAATTTGCTCTCCATTTCCAGTGGGGGGGGGTCGGGGAACATTGAGAAAACACGTATGGAACCCGTACCCCCCCCAACCCGAAATTCGGGTCTTCGGGTTGGGTTGCGGTGGTTTGGTAGGTAGTCGGGAAAGGACAGAGGGGGAGGGAAAAGGATGGAGCACGAGAGAGCTCAGCAGGAGGGGGGCTGGGAGCAGAAGCCGCGCAGCAGGACCCGGCGGGCAGACCGGGGGCGGGTGTAGACCCTGACCAGCGGGTCGGGGAGGCGCGGGCGCGGGCAGCCGGATCGAGCAGGCGAGTTGCTGAAGCGCGTGAGTCTTGCGTGAATCGTGCAGAAGTTTCGAGCGATATCGGGATTCCCAAAGACATCGGGGGAGAGGTCGAAGCGAGAGTGTGATTCCTGAGTGGCGAAGGCGCTGCGTCGGAGCACACTGTGAGGCCGTCCCAAGCGAGAGCAAGCGCGATGCCTGCATATATTCCGAGGAAGCCCCGCGCGAGATCGCGGATTTTGGAATGCATCGTGATTATCAGGCGGGAGCAGGTGTTGTGTTAAACCAGGTGCCAAAAGCACACCTGAGGCGCAATCTTATTTTTTAGAATCAAGATGCGAGCCCTGGGAGGGGCTTTTCAATTGAGCAGGCACAGCGGGCACTGGGGGGATCAATAGTTACTTTTTCGGAGAGTTCACCAGCATCATCATCAGCATCTGCATCAGCATCAGCATGATCACCATCATCATTGTCAGCGTCATCATCATCATCATCATCACCACCATCATCATCACAGTCCTCATCATCATCAGCAGCAGCAGCGTCATCAGCAGCATCATCATCAGCAGCGTCATGCTGATGATGATGGTAATGATCATGATGATGATGACCGTGATGATGATTATGATGATGCTGATGCTGGTGCTGATGCTGATGATGATGCTTCTGATGCCGCTGGTGATGATGCTGATGCTGATGCTGATGATGATTCTTGTGATGATGATGATGATGATGATGCTGGTGATGATGCTGAGTGGTGTTGATGATGGTACTGGGGAAGACGGCGATGGTGGTGATGTTGATTGTGATGCTGTTGGCGATGACGATTTTGTTGATGTTGATGCTGATGCTGCTGCTGTTCATGATGATGCCGCTTGCAATCGTGATGGTGGTGCCGATGTTACCTCTGCAGATGATGCAGATGCTACAGTATGGGGATAAGGGCGATGATGATGACGATGATGATGATGCTGATGATGATGCTGATGGTGATGATGATGATGATGCTGATCAGGATGAGGGTGATACGAATGATGATGCTGATGATGATGATTATGCTGATCATGGTGATATGACGATGGTGATTAGGATGATGGTGACGCTGATGAATATCATTATATTCATATGATGATGCTGATGCTCATGATGATGATGGTGATGCTGATTATGATGATGATGGTGACGATGGTGATGATGCCATGCCCATGCTGCGGATGCTGATGATGATACAGATGATGATGCTGATGATAATGATGATGCTGCTGATGCTGATGATGCTGATGATGCCGATGATGAGGATGATGAGGATGATCAGGATGACGATGTGGTGATGACGATGATGGTGATGCTGCTGCTGATGACAAGGGTGATGATGCTGATGATGATGACGATGATGATTCTGAAGATGATGTTGATGTTGATGCTGATGCGGATGCTGATGCTGATGCTGCTGATGATGAGGCTGATGATGATGATGAAGATGGTGGTGATGATGATGATGATGATTCTGATGATTCTGATGATGATGGTGGTGGTGGTGGTGGTGATGATGATGATGATGACGATGATGATGATGATGATGATGATGATGATGCTGATGCTGATGATGATGATGATGATGATGATGATGATGATGCTGATGCTGCTGATGCTGCTGATGCTGCTGATGATGATGATGATGATGATGATGATGATGATGATGATGGTGGTGGTGATTCTGATGGAGGTGGTGAGGCAGAGGGAGAACGTGACCAGGATCAGGAGCAGCAGACCGAGCAGGCGGAGGCGGAAGCGGGCGAGCACGTGCCTGCGCAGCCGCTTTCGGCCCAGGACAGCCTGGCCCCCGCGCCGCCAGCGCACCGCCACGGCCTGGCAGCACCGCCGCGCTGGAGCGGCGGCGGCAGCTGCCCCGGCGATGCCCGTGGAGGCCGAGGCCGCGCCCAGGGCCCAGGACCGCCTCGGCCGCGCCGCCGCGGCCGAGCCGCCTGCCGCGGGCTGCCTGCAGCCGCCCGCGGCCGGCGGCGGCGGCGCGGTGGGGCCCTGCGGGCCCCGCGGGCCGCGGTCGCCGCCTCGGCGGGCGACCGCGGGCGCCGCGGTGGGCCCCGCGGCGGCGGGCGCTCGACGACCCCCGCCGCTCCCGCCGCTGCCGCTCGGCCCGGGCGGGGCGGCCGCGGCGGCGCCGGCGCCGCTCAGCGCCAGGACGCGCACGGAGACCGTGGTGGACTACGTGCCGCTGGAGGAGCGCCGCTGCGGCCACCACGCGGGGGGCAACGCGCCGCTGACCGCGCGCTCCACCGCCGCCAGCACCCACACCGCGACCTACTCGGCCACGGAGACCGTCGACGGCCATCAGGGGCAGCCTTATGCACGAGCGGGAACTTTGGCTCAGGGTGTCGCTCCGCTGGTTCTGGCCCACCACGCTTTGGCGCGACTCGCTATCCAGTTCCTGATCCAGGTCAGCGTTCCGAGCCCCTCCGAGCCTCCCGCCCCTCGGAGCGGAGCGGAGCGACACGCTAGCCGTTTGCAGGGTATAGCGTGTCGCCGGGGCCGCCGCCGCGACACGTTAAGCAGAAGTTCCCGACCGTATGGGGGGCGCTCATGGAGTTTGGATCGATCCCCAATCGCTCATTGATCGCCGACAGGGGCCCAATGGCCCGCCTGCCCAGGACCATGCGGTTTCGCTGTTGAGAGCCTGCCGCCGAGCCTGCCGCTCCCAGGTGATGTTCCCCCCTGAGCTGTTGTTGCCAGAGGTGCCCCTGGCCCCCAAGGTGCCCCCTGGATTCCCGAGGAGGCCCCACGGCCTCCAGAGCGCCCCCTCACGAGGCCCAGAGGGTCCCCGGGGGGCTACAGCGTTGGGGATCAGAGCTTGGGGCACCTTAGGCCAGGGGCACCTTCAGCCCCCCTTCCCCTCAGGCCACACGGCGACCTTCACCTACACCGCCACCTTCACGGCCACCGTCACGGCGACGGTGCTCGCCGACGCCGGCGCCGCGGCGGCCGTGCTCGACCACGTGGCCGTGGAGGCCGTGGAGCACCCCGCGTGCCAGCTCGGCAGCGGTGTGAGCTCGCCCCAGGGCAGCGCGCGCGGGTCAGGCTCCTCTCTGGGGTCCTCCGGCTCCAGCCTCTCCTCGAGGGGAACAAGAATTGGCACAGGCACGATGTTTCGGAGGCCTGCGCGGGTTCCTTGGACCGGCGCCTCTTGGCGGCGCCCCCTGGCATGCACGTGGGTCGTTGAGAGCAGGTGATCTTGGATGCCCTGATCTTCAGGCGCCTTCCTACTTGAAGGGTCCAGTGGGTTTTTCTCTTCCGGGGGCGGGCGCAAGCCCAGTTCACCTCCAACGCCTTCCGACCTGCGGGAGGAGGAGGAGAAGGAAGAGCAGGAGGATGAGCAGGATGATGATAATGCTGATGATGCGGATGCTGCTGATGATGATGATGATGATGGTGATGATGAGGATGATGATGATGATGCTGATGCTGATGATGCTGCTGATGCTGATGAGGATGAGGATGCTGATACCGATGATGATGCTGCTGCTGATGATGCTGAATATGATGCTGATGCTGCTGCTGCTGATGATGATGCTGCTTCTGATGATGTTGATACTGAACATGAACATGTTGCTTCTGATGTTGATGATGATAATGATGATGATGGTGATGGTGATGATGATGATGATGATGACGATGACGATGATGATGATGCTGATGATGATGATGATGATGATGATGATGATGATGAGGATGAGGATGAGGATGAGGATGAGGATGATGATGATGATGATGATGATGATGATGATGATGATGATGATGATGATGATGATGAGGATGATGATGAGGGATGATGAGGGTGCTGCTGCTGGTGCTGCTGCTGCTGCTGATGCTGATGATGAGGAGATTGAGGAGGAGGAGGAGGAGAGGAGGAGGAGGAGGAGGAGGAGGAGGAGCAGGAGGAGGAGGGGGGGAGGGAGGGCATTGATGACGACTCCGCGCGGGCCTCCAAAAGTTTGTGCCCGTGCCGCCTCTTCTTCCTCCCGCGCTCCGGGGGCGACGCCGTCGACCGCCGGCGCTCCACCGCGACGGCGGCCAGCGACGCGGCGCCGGCCGAGGGCGGGCGGAGAAGGAGGCACTACCAGCGGACGGGCAGGAGTCAGGAGGAAAATAAACATACAGAGACAATTAATCGTCGATCCCCCGGAACATATGGGGAAAAATATGGGAAGCGGGGGTGGAAGTGGGGAATCCAGATAATATGGGCAAATATGGGGAATCCTGTTATTTGTGTGTGTATTTATTTGTATGTCCCAGGGCCCCTTCAAGGATAGAGGCAACTTGCGAACCCTGCCCCTCCCCAGACCCCCTCGAGTAATGAAAAAGTCATGACGGAAGGTTTTTCTAAATTTTCGGTCTCCGGGGGCCCTCACCGGGCCTCGGGAGCGTCAAAACGCGGCTCAGGATGCAAAGCCGGTCACGGGGAACGGGTCGGGACCTCTGGGGGTCGATGTAATGAAAAAATCACTACGTCGGGGGTCTGGGTCTGGGTCTCCTAGATCCTAGATTCCTAGATCCTAGATTCCTAGATCCTAGATTCCTAGATCTCTGGGTCTGGGTCTCCTAGATCCTAGGTTCCGAGGCGGGAATTTAACCATAACCACCGCCTAGGGGGTCGATCTTCGCGGGCCTCCACGGGCGGTGGACATGGACATGTTCTGGCCCCAGGAGGAGGATGATGATGATGATGATGATGATGAGGAGGAGGAGGAGGAGGAGGAGGAGGAGGAGGTATGGGATGCATGGAAAAAGAGTGTGTATGATCATGTGTGTGTGTGTGTGTGGGGGGGGGCGACCATATATATATATATATATATATATATATATGTATATATACATCCACCGCCCGCAAGGGCACCATGACGTCGGTTCCCAGGTGGTGGATATGGATCAATTCCCGCCTCGCACAGAGGATGTCCGAGTAAGTGGGGTCGGAGGATCGCGCCACATCGCCGAAGCATTGACGATGCGGCTCGATGCGGAGCACGTTTTTTCCCACGCTGGCGTCGCCGATGTACCGCCGACGTCGCCGATGCGGCGCGATCCTTCGACCCCATCTACTCGGACCCCATCTACGAGGCCTCTAACATGCGAGCCCTACCCCACCACCCCGCGGTTTTAAGGGGGGAGGTGGGGTGGTCTGGTCTCCTACAGGAGCGGGTCTGGTCTGCGGCTGGAGCACATCATGCAGGTGTCGAGTGTTGGCGGCGTGCCCGCGTGGGAAGTGGTCTCTGTGGGAACCGGAGGTCCGACGCTCCGAACAGGAGTTGAGCGGCGGGTTCTGGCCGTTGTCGGCCTCGAGGGGCCCTCCCCGGGCCTCGGGACTACCGAAAAACGGTGCAGGACGAAACACCGGCGCTGGGGAAGTGGTCCAGACCTGCGGGGCCCACGCATCGAACACAGAGGAGCAGCCGGATGTCTGGGGCAGGCCTTCTCAGAAGTCGGACGTGAAGCCCTCTGGGGCCTTGGAGGAGCCGAGTTTTGCCCGAGGCTCCCCGCCGGGTGTTGTCGCCACCACGGGCTGGGACTCTCAAGAGGCCGGGAGCCCCTCCCAGAAGTCCGCACGGACCTCCGACAGTTTGTGCTCACGTGCTCGCTCTTCTCCCCATCTACACCTTAGGCGATGCTCAAGAAAACTTGATTTTTCGGCCAGAGTCTCGATTATTCTCAACGTTTCAATGCAAATCCTAAGTTTAGAGTGGATTTTTTGGGTTTTTATTCAAATTCTGAGACTCTGAATTTCTAAACCCATGATTTCTTAAGCATTTCGCAGGGTGTAGGCCTCCCAAGTGGGGTCCGAGTAGTTAGATGATGTTGGGGGATGGCGCCCGCACCGCCGACGCATCGGCGATGCGGCTCGGTGTGGAGACCGGCCGTCTCCACGCCGACGGCGCCGAGATGCATCGCCGATGCATCGGCGGTGCGGCGCGGTCTTCTGACCCCATCCACGCGGACCGGAGGAGGAGGAGGAGGAGGAGGAGGAGGAGGAGGAGGAGGAGGAGGAGGAGGAGGAGGTTTTTTTTTGCTGCAAGAACGATGCCTGGCGGTCCCCGCCCCAGCTCGCCACATGTGAGACGGATGGGCGGGCACGCCACCTCGGGGTGCCATCCCGCCCCTTCCAGATCAGTCCATGAGGCGCTCCCAGAACGCTGCGCACTCCTCCTGTACCAGGGAGCGCGGCTCTGCCTCCAGGGAGACCTTCTCTGCATAAGGATTTTTGCCTCGGCGCAGGAGCGAGAGGCGGTACTCTGCGGTGGGGTTCGCAGGGGCCCCCACGCAGGCAGCCAAGAGCTTGCACCCCCTCTCGCTCGAGAACACACCGCACCGATCGCAGAAAGTATACTGGCCCACGCGGTGCAATTCGTGCCCCAAGGCCGCACCGCGGAGGGCGGGAGAGATGACGCCTTCCCCATCCCCCCGCCCCAACCCAACACCCCACCGACGATCCACCCTCATCTTGCCCTGGCAGGGCCTGCGCGCCAACGCGCGCCTGGTCTTGCAAGAGAAGGCCTTTCGCCCGCACGTCGAGCAACGCCACGCCCCCCTCCTCCAGAGGAGGACGTGGGCGCGGGCCCCTTCGGGCGGCCCTTGCCGCCGTCGGCGGGCTCCGCTGGAGCCCGCGGCAGGCCTCCCCGTGGAATCCCCGAAGTCCGCCGTAAGCCCCGTCACCCCCGCCACCAGAGTCAACACCGCCTGGACCTCCGCAGAGCGGGTGGCCCAGGTCTGGGCCTTCCACGGGGGGACCTCCTGCATGTCGGCCCCAAGGCGGGCCTCACAGTCTGCCAACTGATTCCCTTGAAAATCGAGAAAGCTCTCGTGCGAGTCATCCTTTGGCCCGCTAGCATGGGCTTTTACCTTGACGGCCTGGAAATCACCTTCCTGACTGAAGCTGTCCTGGATCTGGGCCCAGATTCTGCCCCAGAGGTCGGCGTGTGGCCTCCTAGGGCTGCAGCACCAGCTGGGACCTCTACGGAGGCCTCGAATGACTGAACTGTTGTCTACCCCTACTCTCAGAGGCGGGTGAGCGCTATTCAGCAGCTTGAGCAGTCCATACAGCTCAGCACGCAGGACGGAGGCTAGGCTACGCAGCCCTGGGAGGGTCCCCCGCATGGCCTTAACAGCCCCCCCGTCCTGGTCCAGGAAAACGTAGCCCCAACCGAAACTCTTAAGCCCTGGTGGGCCTCTGGCCGATCCCTCGGAGTAGGCCCACCCTGAGACCAGCGGGGGATTAACAACATCGGGGTTCTCCTCCTCCAGGGCAGAAATCCAATCAGACTGCGGGTCCTCCAGGGGGTGCTCGTGAAGCCCACGGGAGAAAAGGAGGGAGTCCGAGGTGGAGGATTCAGCACGATGCACGATCCCTTGGAGGCCCTCATCCTCGGCTACGGTGGCTCTCGCTGCTCCTCTATCTGGGCAACAAAGGAAACGATGGCGCTGGCATCCGACTTCAGCGCCGCAGGCTTGACAGGACCTGTCGTCCCCGAAACCCGCACGCCAGACCTAGTCCTGGGTCCATAAGTCGCGGCCCATGTAGGCCAGGATAGCCGATCGCCTCTGCGGCGATCGGTTAGCCTTCCGTCGAAGGAGAGCCCTAATAGGCTCGAGGAAGGGACGGGTGATCCCGAGGTCCCTGGAAGCCGCCCAGGAGGTCATCACCGCAAATTCCAAACGGGACCAGATCGGCTTCTTAAGACACTGCGGTGCTGTCCTGCGCAACTCCCACTGCTGCCCGAGATGGTCGGAGAAAACATGATAGGCAGGCCACGTCCACGTGAGGAGTCTGAGTGTGGCCCAGACGGCTGAAGCGGGTCCTTTTATCTGCCTCCAGGGGTTGCTCCCAGGCTTGGCGGCAGCGGCCGCCGCGACAGCTCTGCGCCACCCCGCAGCCATGATCTCCTCATGGCTGCCAGCAAAGATAGCCTCCGCCCATTTGAGCAGTGGCTTCGTGCAGGCATCGACCAGGGGGTCGCAGCGCAGCGTCCACAGGCGGAGCAGTCGGTCCTTACCGATTGCGTTCCCGCCCAGCGCCGAGGCCATGAGCGCCCTTGCCCGGGTGAGCCGAGTCGGGTCCATTCCGAGGCAGACCGCCCCATACAGCACAGAAGGGGGAAATCCCACGCGCGCAACTTGAAAGGTGCGCGCGCCCTGCTTGCCGAGGCTTGAT